TTGTTTCAACATCTTTTTCCTGTAGGTTTGAGAATGTCACCAGATCTGGGACTCTTATTGAACTTTGTTTTGTTTCATTAGTTTGTTATATTTGATGCCAGTATCAAACTGCCTTAATACTATTGGTTACTGCAGTTTTGTAGTATATTCTAGGATCTGGTAGCTACATCATTCTGAATTGTTTTGTTTTGTTTTGTTTTTACTTTATTTTTAAAGTTGGAATTCAGTAGAACATGTTAAATGTTATTTAAAATATCTTATAGGGGGCCAGCAGGTGGCATGGGGGTTAAGCGCACTGGACTTCCACATGGCTGACCACAGTTTGAGTCCCAGAACTGATGGCTTGCTTTCTCACTTTCTCTCCCTCTGCCCCTCTCTGGTCAAATTAAAAATAATTAAATTAAATTAAATTAAATAATTCTTTAAAAAAAAAATCCAGCATGGATCCTTCTGAAAAGAGAAGTAAAGGAATAGCATAATTTACTCAATCTTTGTTTTTATTTCTATTTAACTTCATTTATTATTATTTTTTAATTTGAACAAAGAAAGACAGAGAGAGACAAAGGGAAAGTAAGAAAGCAAGCCACCAGGTCTGGGACTCAAACCATCGTTGGCCATGTGGAAGAAGTGCAGCACCCCACCAACCATGCCACCCGCTGGCCCCAATTTACTCAAACATTTTTATTTTCTTTTTCTCTCTTTATTTTATTTTATTTTGTTACTTTTCTATAGGGCATGTGTGCTCACCAGAGAGAGACACAGAGATAGAGGGAAAGTGAGAAATAATTCCCCACCCAGGGGGGATGGCCATGCCACAATCCCTTCTTCTCCATTCTCTTTTCAGGATTTTGGGCACACGTGCACATGTGCTCAGCATGATTTTTCAAGCCTCTCTCTGGGTCTGGGACTCAAACCTCATAGCTGGCCACATGGTATCTAGTGCCTTAACCTCCATGCCACCTGCTGGGCCTAAGGTTCTCTGAGATATATTAAAGTCAAAAATTTCAAAATTGAATGATAATGATATTCAGAAAAGAGTCAGAAACCATGCTCCATCTGTTTCTGTATTCCCACATCCACTAAGTTTGTGGGTATCATCTCAGCTGCTTTATCAAAGGATGGGCAGATGGGATGACCACCTTTTTGTAATTCACTTATGCATAAGTAGACAGGTAGAAGGAAATATATGGAAAGAGCTGAAGAGGTTAAATGAAATTAGAGTGCCTTCATTCTGGCATGGGTGAAAAGGCAGAATTAGAGAAACATGGTCTTTTCAAGCCTAAGTAGTTCAGAGTAATTAGAAGAATGAAAAGAAATTTAGAAAAAGTGGGCAGCTGCCAGGGACAGATCTTTGCAGATTGTCTTGGTAAACTATGTCAAAAACGATTTAGTTTTGTTCCAGTATACACTACTGCTGAGCACCTATTGTTTGTCAGGTGCCGGCATTGTATCTGTCCTTGAGGGATTTATAATCTATTGAATGGAAAAAATATTCTGTAATTAGATTCTTGGCTGGGGCTACCTCAGTTTTTGACTCTATGCCTGCATAACCCTTCTAAAAATGCGTGTCCCAATTCTGAAAGAGAATTAATTAAAACGAAGTTTTCCCCCATCCTGGATTGATGGGTTTAGTTGCTAGCTTAGTAAACAAGGACATTGAAGGACAGTTGTCTCTGGCAGGAATAAAGGAAAGGGGGGTGCTGTGGGAGAAGTCAGTGTGTGATTACATCTTATAATTGTGGTAATTGAAAGATTTTTCCAAGCCTCCTTCTGAAACCCTGGGGTTTTGTGTCTTCCTTCGGCTAAAGCTAAGAGTTGGGCTAAAGCTAAGAGTTGCGAAGCATGCCACATGTTAATGTGACAGCAGGAAACTCCACTTAATGACTCAAAGACATCCAGTTGAACTTACTGGAAATCAGAGGTTTTTTAACTTGTAAATTTTATAATTAAACCAACTGGCTAATTGAGCAGTTTAGCCACTGGTAATTTGATCAAAATGTCTCATTTAAGGGGAAAAATGGTTAATTTAACTAGCTTCTTAATTAACCAGCCGCTCTAATTATAGGAATTGCCCCAAACTAAATTTGAAAATGCTTCCTTGCCAAGGAATTCCAGCAGATAAGAGGGCTGGCAAGGATTTATAGCACTTTGACCTAAGATGTGTTGTCATCTCAAAGATCAATTGAGTTCTGCTTTTTTCCCCCTTAATTAATTATTTTCTTCCCATTCTGCCTTTTAAAACTACTGGGAGGTAATTGAGTTTCTTTCTTTTTTAAAAATTATTAATTTAATTTAATATTATTTTTAAATTTTGCAATAGGGCACATGTGCTCACCAGAGAGAAACGGAGAGAGATAGAGAGTGAGAAAGCAAGCCACCAGGTCTAGGACTTGAACTGCATTCAGCTATGTGGGAGTCTAGTGCCTTAACCACCACTCCATCTGCTGTTCCAGCCCCCAGGGTTTTAAAGTCTTAGAGAAGTCAGCGAATGAGATGAAGTAGCTGGAAGTAGATTATAAAATCAAAGTTCTTTCAGGTTTACCTAAGTTAAAACTTTGGACCATGGAAAACAATCAAACTTTTTTTTAAGAATTATTTTTTCTTTCTTTCTTTCTTTCTTTCTTTCTTTCTTTCTTTCTTTCTTTCTTTCTTTCTTTCTTCCTTCCTTCCTTCCTTCCTTCCTTCCTTCCTTCCTTCCTTCCTTCCTTCCTTTTAATTTAACCAGAGAAGGACAGAGTTAGAGAGAAAGAGAGTGAAAGAGGGAAAGTGAGAAAGCATGCCACCAGGTCCTGGACACAAACCATGGTCGGCCATGTGGGAGTCCAGTGTCCTTAACCATCAAGCCACCTGCTGGGTCACATCAAACATTTTTTAAAATGACCTCTGTCTTGTTCCTTGTTGTCCCTGTAGTGCCTGGGACAGTACCTGACAAAATGTATTTTTAAGAGCCAGCCCTTGGTGGGTGATTATATCCCACATGGCCGACTGTGTGCTTTGAGTACTGGACCTGGTGGCTTGAAAAGCACACTGGATGCTTGTGTGTGCATGCCCCAGATCTTGAGAGCACAAGGAGGAGAAGGAATTGCAGCGTGGCCATTCTTCCTCAGGGAATGATTTCTCACCTTCTCTCTACCCCCATGAGGGCAAATAAATTGTGTGTGTGCAATGAATAAAGTGTTGAATTGGGCCAAGTTGTGTTGCCATGGCGCAGATGGACTTATGCGGGTTCACATCTAGGATCTCCCTAACACAGCAGGTGTGTGGGTGCCAATGTGATCTGGACTGTCTGGGACTGGGTGTGGATCATGGTGTAAGGACTATCTTGAGGGTGCTGTATCTGTCTCCTCTCTGCCTCTCTGTCTCACTCATTCATGGAATACATTTTTTAAAAATGAGGGATGAGTCGGGACGAGCAGTTAGCATAATGTCTATGACTCTGGACTCCCATGTAGTCGACCGCAGTTCACATCCCGGACCTGGTGACTTAAACTCACGCTGGGCACGTGTGCGTGCATGCCCAAGATCCCGAGAGGAGAATGGAGGAGAGGGGATTGCAGCGTGGCCACCCCTCCCCCCCCCGGGGGTGATTTCTCGCTTTCTATCTCTCTGTCTCTCTGTGAGCCCACCCCCCCTTTTGAAAAAAAAACCCCCTCAAAAAAAAAAAAAAAAAAGAGTGATGAGTGTTTCAAGTAGAGGAAAAAGCATGTGCAAAGGGCCTATCATTTGACATAGCTTGGGACATTGAAGGAACATAAAGGCTGTCCTTGTGGCTGAAGCAAAGTGGAAAGGACACTAGGGTGGCGAGCTGGAGCCATCCACGCTGAGCCTCATTAAAGGTGAGGTTTCATCCTAAACATATGCAGTGGAATTATGTTTGATATATGGTTTTTGTTTTTTATTGTTGTTTTTAAGTTTGCTATAGGGCATGTACGCTCACCAGAGAGGAAAAGTGAGAAAGTAAGTCACCAGACCTTGACTACCATACCATGTGATGGCCCAAGAGATCCTGTTTTTTATCTAGCGGTAGCAGACATAGTCACTGTTCTGTACCTTAGTTTTTGTTTTTTGTTGTTCACGTAGCAGTATTTGTTGGATGTTCCATAAGTGCAAATAAATCATATTAGATTTTTTTAAACAATTTTTTTCTATAGGAAGGATACATTTGCCAGAGAGAGATATATACAGAGAGAAAGTGAGAAATCATCCCCCTGGGGGCGCGGTGGCCATACCTCAGTCCCTTCTGCTCCAGTCTCTTCTTGGGATTTTGGGCATGCATGTACACGTGCTCAGTGTGATTATCAAGCTGCCTGGTCCAGGACTCAAACTGTGGAGTTGGCCATATGGGATCCAGCACCTTAACCTCCATGCCACCTACTGGCCCAATATTAGATGATTTTTAAACCTTTATGGAACTCAAATGATTTTTTGCTAGTTATTTTTGCTCTCTATTTTTTTTCTCTCCATATAATCCCCTTAGAAAGCTTCAAAAGGTTCATTGCCTGTTGAGGAACAAGAAAAGATGAGAGTCCTGTGAGAGTATTTTGTTCCCTTACCATCAGTTGACTTTAGCAGGAGTGAATTTCTTTTTTTAAAAAAGAAAACAAAACAAAACAAAACTTTATTTATTTTAATTTGACCAGAGAGAGACAGAACAAGAGAAAGAGAGAAAGTAAGGAAAGCAAACCACCAGATCCAGGACTCAAACCATGGTTGGCCATGTAGAAGTTCAGCGCCCTTAACCACCACACCATCTGCCGGCCCCAGCAGGAGTGAATTTCTCAAAGCAAGATGGGAAGTGGGGATGCCATTTATTCCGGGAGCCAAAAGAAGAGACAAAGGGATCAAACTGAGAACCAGTCCAGGAACAAGAAGTATCTGTGGTTCTTTAAACCCTCTGTGCCCAGATGTTCCCAGTCCTGCAGTGGAGGGTTTGTCTCCTCTCGTATGATTTGTCTGTCCTTGGAGGAGCTTAAGCAGATGTGTCTTATTTTCTGTCTTAGGTGGCATTCTTTTGCATGCCAGTCGGCACTACAAGACGAAACCTACCCATGGCATTGGAAGATACAAGCACCTGATTAAAGCAGAGGAGGTAAGGTACAGGGAGTCCTGCAGCAAAAGACAATGAGCAGCTTTTGCAAAGATCTGAAGGTCAGGTATTTGGAGGCTGGGTGATACTGGAGTTGGAAGTATAGGGGTTGCCTCTCAGTCCTCTCAAAATATCTAATAGTTTAGGATTAGCAGAGTGAAAGGCAAATGGTTTGGTTTTATTATTTGTAATACCTTTTATAAATTATTTTCATAGCACTTAGTTCAGTTATTGACCTCACGGTGGAAATGATCAATTCAGTTTAGTCGAATGAATGGTTTGTGGCAAGTAGAGGTTATGTTTTGATATTTTCAGCCAAATAGATAATTTTGATAGTATTTACAGATCTAAAATATGTATGTGCTCCTTGAATCCATGATCACAGATAACTCGGCCTTAGTTCTTATTTTTTATTATTGTTTAGGCTTTTGCCACAGGGCATGTGTACTTGCTGGAAAGAGACAGAGAAGGAAAGTGAAAAATTACCTCCCAGGGGGAATGGCCACACTGCAGTCCCTTCTCCTCCATTCTCTTGGGATTTTGAGCACTGATGTACACATACTCGGCTTGATTTTTAAGCCTCTGGGTCTAGGACTTGAACCATGGTTGACCATATGGGAGTCCAGCACCTTAAGTACTATGCCACCTGCTGGCCATGAGCCTTAGTTCTAAGCACTGTAAAATTGGTTAGCCTGTTTCTCTGGGTCCAGCCACACAGTTGCTCCTGTGGTAGATTTCTAGGTGTGTGCAAAGAGTTTTTTTTTTTTTTTTGAGAGGTTTTTGCTATAGGGCACGTGCGCTCGCCAGACAGAGAGAGACATAGAGACAGAAAGCAAGAAATCACCCCCCAGGGGGGATGGTCACATTGCAATCCCTTCTCCTCCATTCTCCTCTTGGGATCTTGGGCATGCACGCACATGCGCCCGGCGTGAGTTCTAAGCCACCGGGTCCGGGACACGAACCATGGTCGACTACGTGGGAGTCCAGCGACATAGCCATTACACTAACTGCTGGATCCCATGTGCAAAGAGTTTTGTGGTGGAGTGGACACAGCACTGGCCTGAAAGTCAGAAGATCTGACTTTGAATCTTGATTCTGCTACTTCCTGTAAACAGTACAGCTGGGAAACTTCAATGTTTTTTGGTTCTTTGGCTTTTTTGATGTTCCTATATAACCATCACATCTTCCATTTGCCTTTATCTTCTTGGCAAAGTTCCAGTACGATTTTCTTTGGGCCTCAGAAGCCACTAAACTTGTCATGTTCTCCAGAGCATCATTCTCATATCAAAGAATTTCTGAGAAGACCATTGCCACATCTGAGACCTGTATTAGGTAGGTTCTCAGAAAAAACCTTTCTAAAATTGTCCCTTTGTAGTGGGAATAGTACTGAATTAGGAGCCAGGAAACTTGTGTTCTGGGCTTGGTTCTGCCACTTCAGTTGGTAGCTTTGGGTAAGCTAACTTTACCTCTCTAGGCATGGTGGGCCTCAAAATGATATATAAAATATTTTGTGGGGCCAGCCAGATGGTGTAGTAGTTAAAGATGCTGGATCCCATATGGCCCACTGCATGGTTCAAGTCCTGAACCCAGCTTGAAAATTACACTGGGCACATGTGCTTGCAAGCCCAAAATGCCAAGAGGAGAATGGAGAAAGGATTGCAACATGGCCATTTACCTGGGATGATTTCTCACTCCCCTACTCCATTCTCTCTCCACTAAGCACACATGCCCTATAACAAAAAATTTTTTTTGTCTGTGTGAATTTTTCCAGAAAGAAGGTCTATAGCTTTTAGCAGGCTCTTTACAAAGGTTGAGGAATTCTGTATTAGAATATCTAATAGTTGGGGCTGAGTCCATAACCTAATGTTGGAAAAGCCAGGTTGCACATGGCCCACTGCAATTCCTGGCTGCTTGGAAAACACAACAGGCACATGTGTGTTCATTCTGAAAATCTCAACAGAATGGAGAAATGGAGGAGAGGGGATTGGTCATGACCGTGCACCATTGCTGGGTTCTTTCTCTGTCTTTCTGTCTCTCTTTTTCTCTATGGCTAGTGGTGATTAAAAAAAAAAAAATCTTTAAGGGTCTTTCAGCCTGGATATCATGTAACTCCAATGCTAAAAATTATCGTGTGCTCGGCACTATTGACACTCTGCCTATTCAGAGTGGGTTGCAAAATAATTTACGGGGTGAATGAACAAGTTGTGTCTCATGCTCAGAGGGAGCTGGTAAGTCAACAGTGATAAGACACAGATAATTATGTTCTCAGGCAGAAAGTGACAAGCGCTGAAAGGAAGATAAAAAGTGCTATTAAAATTCAGAAAAGGAGTGATTTGCACCCTGTCGGAGTTGTGACACCTCAAAGTAACTTGTTGGAGTTATTTTATTTCAGGATGTTCTCCCTCTAAAAGTCCCACATAAATTAGCAGGAAATAAAATTAGTTTTGTTTGGGTGGGGAGTTTTTTGTGTATTATTTTTAAAAGTTCTTGGGAATCTTTCCTCTAAGGTGATTTTCTTTTTGAGATATTTTTCCTATAGGGCATGTGTACTTGCCAGAAAGACAGGGGGCAGAAAGTGAGCAATCCCTTCTCCTCCATCCTTCTCTCAGGATTTTGAGTCTGCACAAGTTTCAAGCCTTCAAGTCAAGGACTTGAACCCTAGTCAGCCATATGGGAATCTAGTGCCTTAACCACTATACCACCTGCTGGCTCCTCCTTTAAGATGATTTTTCTGTCTGTCCTATCCTCTGGCCTGTCCGTTTGTTTGGTATAAAAGGAAGCCTAGTGTTATCTTCTTTTTAATTTCTAATTTTAATATTTAAATTATGATAGAGAGTATGTATACACACATGAGAGAGGAGGGAGAGAGACATCACTTTTAACAGAGTCTTGTCACACTGCACTCCCTTTTCTCCACTCCTCTAGCTCATCAGGATCTTGGCACATGTGTGTGCACCCAGCATGGTCTAGGCTGATTTGGCCAGGAATTTGAACCAATCAGCATGTGGCTTCCAACACTGCAGTTCAGTATGCTATAGACTGTGTCATCAGGCTGGGCCTTAATGCTATCTTCTTTTTCTTTTCTTTTCTTTTTTTGGAGAAGTTTTTGCTATAGGGCGTGTGCACTCGCCAGAAAGAGAAGAGACAGAGAGGCAGAAAGCGAGAAATCACCCCCCGGGGGGATGGCTACACCAAAATCCCATCTCCTCCATTCTCCTCTCGGTATCTTGGGCACGCATGCACATGGGCCCAGCGTGAGTTTAAGTCGCCGGGTCTGGGACTTGAACCACAGTCGGCTACATGGGAGTTCAGAGATATAGCCATTATGCTAACTGCTGGTCTCTTTCTTTTCTTCTTCTTCTTTTCTTTTTAATTTGTTGTAGGGTACGTGTGCTTGCTGGAGAGAAAGATAAAATGAGAAAGCACTCCCTACGAGGGATGTCCACATGACAATCCCTTCTCTATTCTTCATTCTCTTTTCAGGATTTTGAGCACATGCACACACATGCCTGGCTTGCTTTTCAAGTTGCTGTCCGGGACTTTTTCAAACCACACAGTCTGCCATGTAGAATCCAGTGCTTTAACCAGTCTACCATCAGCTGGCCCCTTTAATGGTATCTTTAACACCATCTGGCTCAGTCTTCCTCACAAGCATTTTCTCCCATCTTATGGATACTGTGCTCTAATTGTATTGGGCCCCTTGCTCTTCAATCAAATCATAGTGTTCCAGGGCCTCTCACGCTCTTCTGTCTACTCAGAAACCTTCCCTTAGCTCCTGCTAACTCCTCTTCAGCCTTTAAATATCAGTGAGAAAGATGAGGCAGGACACAAACAAATACCCCCTTCTAGGAAACCCTCCTGGACCTGCTGTACTGAGATGCTTTTCCTGCTATGAGCTGCTAGTGTTCCTTGTGCGGCCACCGACCTAGGACTGACTGTTCTGTGTTTTAACATTCTATTTTGATGACTATCTGCTTTTAGATTGTGACGTCCCTATGGGTGGGTAGAAGCCATGTCTCATTTTCCCTAATACCCTCAGTGTCCAGGGTAGGGTCTGGCATCAAGCAGGGGACAGTAAATATTGGTTGAGTTGAACTGAATGCTGTCACTGGAGTTGCCCTGAGGTTTTGTACATCAGACCTGGCAAACAAAAAGCACAACCCACTATCTGCAAACAGCCGCTTCCAGATGACTCTGGTTGATTGAAGGGTGTGATGCTCCCTTTGGTTAGGGCTCTGGCCTTTGATGTCTGTGTCCCAGAGTTGCTGGCACGTAGCTGTGTGTTGGTGGGAGCTGCTCCCGCCTCCCCACTTCCGGCACAGGACACTGCAGTGAACGCTCTCGTCTGCCAGCTTATAGAGGCTTCGTCCGAGGACCCTGTCATTTTTACCCCCTTGGGAACTGGGCTAGATAAACTAGAAGGAATCTCGTGTGGCCTTTCTCTTTCTCTTCTTAAAACTGGAGCCTAGAAAAAAAACATTAAGTAACCTGATTCCCGTTTTATTCCTCTCTGGGTCTCAGTCTGGCCCTGCTAGTCTCTTGTCCCTAGGACACGAGTTAATTCGCATGCTCAGACACAAAGTAATCAGCCCTTGTTCCATTTCTGTGGATGTATTCCCTTCATTCCTCCTTCCATAGGTCTCAACACTCAGTTTATGGCTTCTGACCCTTGAAAGGAGAGGGAGCATCTGCCTAATCTCAACTTCCTTTGTCAATACTGTTTTGTGGTTTCTTTTTTGGGTAGGGGAGATTTTTGCTATAGGGCATGTGCACTCACTGGTGAGACAAAGAGAGAAAGTGAGAAATCACCCCCTAGAGGCAGGGCTGCACTGCAATCTCTTTTCCTCTGTTCTTCTGGAATCTTGGGCACGTGCACCCAGTGTGAATTTTAAGCCACTGGGTCCAGGACTCAAACCATGGTTGACCATGTGGGAGTCCAGCAACATAACCAGTACACCATCTGCTGGCCCCCCATTTTTAATAATTATTTTATTTCATTTATT